GTGATCTTCCAGGTCTTCTCTTTTGTTCCCATTTATTTCTCATAGACACTTCTAAGTTGGTGAACAGTTTGTTAGTTAATTGTGTGCTAGTTATCCTGAAGATATTTGATTTGTGTCCTCTGTCCAAATTCAAATTTGAGTGTAATTACTCTCAGGTTACTCACAACTAGAAAGGTAATGCCAATCATTCATATTAATCAGAAGATGAAACGACTGTGAAGGGTTTGGAATTCTAGTCATAAGTATGTATCTGTCCATATCCATGGGGCTCATATCTATCATTCTCACTACTCAGAGGAAGCTGAGATCCAGAAGGTCAAGGTTTAAATTCATGCTATGCAGAAAATTCTCCAAGACTACTCCAAAATAACCAGCAAAAAATGAAAATATGAAGCCTTGAGCTCAAACCCCAACATACAGACTGAAAACTCTGCTATGGTCAGGAAGTGAGCTCTCAGAGACCAGATCTGGCTTACATGGAGAAACTCCACAAAGAAGTGTTTGAACTTGGATGGCAATCTTATTTGAATTTTTAATGTATTTTATTGCAGGCAAACGTAATTTTTCCAGCAGAGAATGTGTTTCTCCTTGGAGCCCATTTGACTAAAGAAGTCATTTTTAAGACAATTTTCAAAATGTATAGTGCACAGAAACAACTGATGAAACAGGATATTTCATAAATATATCGATACATTTTCTTGTTTCTTCTTATATCTTTAATTCATTCTTAGTAATTCTTACAGAAAAATCATTTTGGGTTCTCTTTACCAAATAATTACATTCATAATTATTTTCTTTCTCTCTCTCTTATCTTTCTTCCTTCCTTCTTGCCATCCTGCCTTCCCCCTTTCTTTGTTTTCTTTCCTTCTTTCCTTCCTTCTTCCTTCCTTCCTTCCTTCCTTCCTTCCTTCCTTCCTTACTTCTTTCGTTCGTCCTTCCTTCCTTCCTTCCTTCCTTCCTTCCTTCCTTCCTTCCTTCCTTTCTTCCTTTCTTTCTTTCTTTCTTTCTTTCTTTCTTTCTTTCTTTCTTTCTTTCTTGCTTTCTTGCTTTCTTGCTTTCTTGCTTTCTTGCTTTCTTTCTTTCTATTTTTTTGTTAGTCATAGGGCCTGAACTCTGGGCCTGCGCACTATCCCTGAGCTCTTCAGCTCAGGGATAGGATTCTATCACTTGAGCCACAGTGCCACTTCTGGCTTTTTTCTGCTTATGTGGTGCTGAGGAATTGAACCCACGGCCTCATGCATGCAAGGCAAGCACTCTACCACTGAGCCACCTTCCCAGGCCTTTTTCATTCTTTCCTTCCTTCCTTCCTTCCTTCCTTCCTTCCTTCCTTCCTTCCTTCCTTCCTTCCTTCCTTCCTCCCTCCCTCCCTCCCTACCTCCCTCCCTCCCTCCCTCCCTCCTTCCTTCCTTCCTTCCTTCCTTCCTTCCTTCCTTCCTTCCTTCCTTCCTTTCTCCCTCCCTTCGTTTTTATGTTTCTTTGTTTTTCCATCCCTTCCTACCTCTTTATCTCTTTCATTTTAGCTTAGTTTAGTTTTTGTAATTGAGGCTTGAACTCATGCTTTCCCCTTAATGTTAATCCTCTGCTACATGAGCCATACCTCCATTGCTGCCTTTTTATGTGGTTAATTGGAGTTAAGAGTCCCATGGAATTTTTTGAACAGGCTGTCTTTGAACAACCATTCTCATATCTCACACTCCTGAGTAGGTAGGTTGACAGGTATTAGCCATCTCCACCCGGCTAAAATGTTCCATTTCAAGTGTGTGTGTGTGTGTGTGTGTGTGTGTGTGTGTGTGTGTGTGTACTCATCCTGAGATATGAACTCAGGGCATGGGTGCTGTCCCATAGATTTTTGTGCTCAAAGCTAGCATTCTGTTATAATACATGAGGCACAGATCCACTCTCAGGTTTTGCATTGTTAATTGGGGATAAAAGCCTCATAGACTTTCCTTCCTGGGCTGGTTTCAAATTGCTATCCTTGCATCTCAGCCTACTGAGTAGGTAGGATTACAAGTGTGAGGCACAGCTGCCCAGCTGTTTGATTTCTTTCTTTATTATTTTTTTATTATGAAAATACTGTACAGAAGGGTTACAATGAGCCAGGTAATGAGTACATTTCTTATCAAGCATTGTTGCCTCCTACTTTGTTTCCCCTTCCCATCCCTTCCTATCTCCCCCCCCAACCCCCTGCACCCCTCCACACCAAAGTTGTAATGTTCATTTTTCTTTTGTGGGGGGAGGGAGTCTGGCTTACTTTTATCTTACTTTAACTTTTTATTGTAAAATACTGTACAGAGGGGTTACATTTACATGGGCAAGATAATGTGTACATTTCTTTTCAAGCATTGTAACCTCTTCCTTTGTTTCCCCTTCCCATCCTCCCCCTAACCCCCCCACCCAATCCTCACCCCCACCAAAGTTGTAAAGTTAGTTTTCGACATAATGACTTGTATATCGCATTGTTGCAATGGTCCACCTGTATCCCTATTTAAACGATTTGTTTTTCCCTTCTCCTGCACAAATTATACCAACATCAAATACAGTGAAAACAGGGGTTATACTGTGGGGGAGAGACATACAAAGCAGCAAAGAAATCATCTTATAAATATGTTAGAAATAATCACAAGAAAAAGGAGTTAATATAAAACATACTGAATGCATTGAAAAGTATTTTGTGGGAGTTTCAGTCACAGCAATTAGAATATAAGTTGAAGCAATCTTTGCAGATGCAGTATTACTTTGATCTTCATTGATGACTGACAAATTGCTAAGATTGAAACTTTAGTTTCTAAATAAACTGGACTTTTTCTTAATCTGAGACCTCTCATATTTTGCCACATTTGTACCATTTGATATTACTCCTCACAGTTCACCAGCATGAAGTGCTAAGTTTTGTTGCTGGACATGATTATTTCAAAAAAATCACTGCTATCCAACCATTCTTGCCCTTGTCTTTTATCCTTTCCCAGTGAGCAGAAAGAGTGAGGAGAAAAGAGAGAGGAGGTAGGAGAAGGGGAGAGAGGAGAGAGAGAGTCAGACAAATAGACTCAGAAAGACTACTTGTCAGTTTTGATCTCTTCTCAAGCCAGTAAAGATGTGCTAGAAGGAACACCTTGGATCTGGAGAGTAGAAACTTGATAAATCTGATATCATATCTTGTTTTTTTCTTGGACACTCAGAGCAGTTTAAAAGCAAGAGGAGCCATCTTTCCTTCCATCATGCACACCCCAGAGTCTAGGAATTCTGAGAGTCTTTTTTTTTTTTTTAATTTTATTTTATTTTATTTGAGAACATACTGTACAGAGGGGTTACAATTACATGGGCAGGAAAAAGCATACATTTCTTACCAAGCATTGCAGCCTCCTCCTTTGTTTACACTTCACCTCCCTTCCCAGCCTCCCCCCTCCCCCCCACCGAATCATACCCCCACTCCCCCCCCCCCCCCCCCCCCCCCCCCCCCCCCCCCCCCGCCACCGACATTGTAAAGCTGGTTTTGACATGACATTTTGTACTTCTCATTGTTGCAACAGGTCCACCTGAATCCTTAAACGACTTGTTTATCCCCGTCTCCTCCACATGTTATACTGACATCAAATATAGTGAAAGCGGGGGTTACACTGTGGGGGAGGGACATACAACGCAACAAAGAAATAATATTATAATGCGTTAGAAACACATACATGAAAGAAACAAAAACATTAAAATACATATTTGAGGGTTCCTTTTCCTAACATCACATTCTCTGACTTTTTCCGCTTGACTCATACCTATACTAGATATTGCAAATAAGGGAAACCATGGGACCTATGTTTCTTTGGGCCTGGCTTACTTCACTTAATATAATTTTTTCCAAGCCTTTCCATTTCCTAACAAATGGGGCAATGTCATTCTTTCTGATGGAGGCATAGAATTCCATTGTGTATATATACCACATCTTCTTGATCCATTCATCTACTGAGGAGCATCTGGGTTGGTTCCATATCTTAGCTATGGTAAATAATGCTGCAATAAACATAGTTGTGCTGGTAGCTTTAGTGTGGCCTTGTTTGTGATCATTTGGGTAAATGCCCAAAAGTGGGATTGCTGGGTCATTGGGGAGCTCTATGTGGAGTCTTTTGAGGAACCTCCATACTGCTTTCCAAAGTGGTTGAACAAGTTTACATTCCCACCAACAATGAAGTAAGGTTCCTTTCTGTCCACATCCCCTCCAGCATCTGTTGTTGTTAGAGTTCTTGATTTTTGCTGTTCTAAATGGAGTGAGGTGATATCTCAATGTTGTTTTGATTTGCATTTCTTTTATGGCTACGGATGTTGAACATTTCTTCATGTGTCTATTGGCCATCCTTCTTTCTTCTTCAGAGAAGCTTCTCTTTAAGTCTTTCGCCCACTTACTTATTGGGCAGTTGTTTCTTTGAGGATTTGTTGTTGGGTGGTTTAATTTTTTGAGTTCCAAGTATATTTTAGATATGAGACCCTTGTCCGTTGTATGGCTAGTAAAGATCTTCTCCCAATCCATGGGCTTTCTACTGATCTTGCTAGCTATGTCATTTGCCTGCAGAAGCTCTGCAACCTTATGCAATCCCATTTGTCCAACCTTTCTTTGATTTGTTCTGTTTCCGGGTCTCTATTCAGAAAATTTCGGCCTGAGCCGAGGAGACCCACGGTTTCTCCTATTCCATCCTGTAATGTTTTCAGAGTGTCTGCTTTGAGTTCAAGGTCTTTGATCCATTTGGAGTTGATTCTGGTGCAGGGTGATATATAAGGATCTAGCTTTAGTTTTCTACATGTAGTTAACCAGTTTTGCCAGCACCATTTACTGAAGAGGCTGTCTGTCTTCCATTCTATTTTTTTAGCTCCCTTATCGAAGATTAGATGGCTATAGGTCTGTAGGTTCATTTCTGGGTTTTCAATTCTATTCCATTGGTCCTGAGGTCTGTTCTTATGCCAATACCAAGCTGTTTTGATTACTATGGCTTTATAGTAGAGTTTGAAATTTGGTACTGATATTCCTCCAGCAGTGTTCTTTCCGTTGAGGAGCGTTTTTGCTATTCGGGGTCTTTTATTGTTCCATATGAATTTTTGGATTGCCTCTTCTATTTCCTTGAAGAATGAGTGTGGAATTTTGATAGGTATTGCATTGAATTTGTAGATAGCCTTGGGAAGTATTGCCATTTTCACGATGTTAATCTTTGCAATCCAGGAGCATGGGAGGTTTTGCCATTTTTTAAGTTCTGTGTTGATTTCCTTTTTCAAGATTTTAAAGTTTTCATCATAGAGGTCCTTCACTTCTTTAGTTAAGTTAATTCCTAGGTATTTTATTTTTTGTGGGGCTATTACAAATGGAGTTGCTTTCCTAATTTCAGCCACACTTTTCTCATTGTTGGCATACAGAAAAGCCATTGATTTTTGGGGGTTAATTTTATAACCTGCTACTTTGCCAAAATTTTGAATCAGCTTGAGTAATTTGGGAGTGGAGTCTATGGGATTCTTTAAATACAAGATCATGTCATCTGCAAAGAGGGAGAGTTTTATTTCTTCTTTCCCTATTTGGATCCCCTTTATGTCTGCATCTTGTCTTATTGCTGTAGCTAGGCATTCTAATACTAGATTGAAGAGAAGTGGAGAGAGTGGGCATCCTTGTCTTGTTCCTGAGTTAAGAGGAAATGGCTTTAGTTTTTCACCATTGAGTATAATGCTGGCTGTAGGTTTGTCATATACAGCCTTTATTTTATTGAGGAATGTTCCATGGATTCCTAATTTTTCCAAAACCTTCATCAGGAAGGAGTGTTAGATCTTGTCGAATGCTTTTTCTGCATCTATTGAGATAACCATGTGGTTCTTATTCTTGCTCCTGTTGATGTGATGAATAATATTAATTGATTTGTGCATATTGAACCAGCTTTGCATCCCTGAAATGAATCCTGTTTGATCGTGGTGTATGATTTTTTGGATGAATTGTTGAAGTCGGTTGGCCAAAATTTTGTTGAGAAGTTTTGCATCAATGTTCATCAAAGAAATGGGTCTATAGTTCTCTTTCTTTGATGAGTCCCTGCCTGGTTTTGGGATGAGGGTTATGATGGCTTCATAGAATGTGTTCGGTAGTGAGCTTTCTCTTTCAATTTCATTGAAGAGTTGGAGGAGAATTGGTGTGAGCTCTGCTTTGAAGGCCTTGTAAAATTCCACTGTAAAACCATCTGGTCCTGGACTTTTCTTAGCTGGGAGGTCTCTTATTGCTGTTTCTATTTCAATGCTTGATATGGGCCTGTTAAGATAGTTTAACTCATCTTGGTTTAGTTTTGGCATGTCAATATTTGCTAGGAAGAGGTCCATTTCTGTCAAGTTCTCAAACTTATTAGCATAAAGTTTTGAGAAGTTAGGAATTCTGAGAGTCTTGGTGATATATCACAACATATCTAAGTAGGATGATGAAGTCAGATGTCATGGACATCTTATTGTGGTGAGGTTGGTCAGGTGAGTATGAACTCATTTTTCTAATTGTGTGGTCTCAGTGAGTGTGGAGATGTGAAGGCCAACCTTAACTTTAAGACACTGGAATAAAATAGAGGGGTTGGGATCAGGAGCCTCTGTCCAGGTCTGACATTCTTGCTCTGGGCTGGAAAATAAATAGATTCCCTCCAGAGTGATGGAGCTGAGAACCTGGGGTAACAAAGGTTCTGCCATGTGGTGGTCTTGGATTCCGTGAAGGAAAATACTTACCACTCACTGGAATTGAACCTAGCAGAAAGGCCATGGATCCTACAAGAGAAAAATCTGCCCTAGACCTTGGGCTTGGCATTGATATGAGGTCTATACAGCAGGACAGAATGGGAGGAGCATGCAAAGCTTCTGGAAAGGGTCAAGCTTAGCTTCCAGATTAGAGCCATTTGCCTCTTCTTTGTTTCAGTAGAGTTACTTAACACCAAGTGGTTATGGGAGAAAATACCTCACCTTAGCCTGACTGCATACTTTAGTGCCTGTAAACTCCTAACTCATCTATCAACTAGAATCAGCCAAAAACTATTTAACATAATCTGTGGAGAGGAGTATAAATGATGATAGTCTTTTTCTCTATCAAGCACCAAGGCTTCTAGGTGCTTAGTGCTTGATTGGATGAGGTTTAAACTAAGAATGGGCCAGAAGTTAATACTGCACAGCCATCTTACATTTGCTGTTGAGTCATCTTTCATGAGGGCCTTGAAACTGCCTCATTTGTTAATAGAATTGGTAAAAATCATCACTCTATTGGCCACAACAGCTTGTGTGTGTGTGTGTGTGTGTGTGTGTGTGTGTGTGTGTGTGTGTGTGTGTGTTTCAATAGCACAGGAGAAGTGGGCCTTATCTGACCCCAGAGTAAATGGCATTATCTCCCTGAAGATTTTATTATCTATAACTCTATATTCAGGTTTTTACTCCATAAATTTAGAGAACCACATTCATTGTCCTGGTCCATGAGGAATCCGGGTTGTATTTTCTTGCTCCTCCAAATTGTGGTAATTGGGTATCCATGCTTTGTCCAAGGACATCTGCATGTGCACTCAGAGCAGCACTTTGCCTGTAGCTCTGGATATCATTCCTCCTTTGCTTTCCATCTGCTTTATGCACCTCCATAAAACTTTATTTGTACTATTTCAATTCCAGAAACTTCTTTGCACACTCACGATAAAGATTTCATTCATAATCAGAGTCCACCTGTTATCATGCAGGGCCTAATTGAAAGCTGGGTTAGCATCATGACCCCATATGCTTAGTGGCTGTGTGGGCCAATCCAGTTCCTTAGCCTGTCTTTTCGTCAGTGTCCTCATCTGTGTAACGTTAGAATAATTTACTGAAGTGAGAGTGCAGCTCAAGTGGGAGAATGCCAGCCTTGTGAGCTCAAAGCCTGAGTTCCAATCCCAGTACCAGGAAACTGACCAGTTTCAGAATACACTCGTGTGAGTTTCAAACATTTCTCATCTGATTACAGTTGATTACAGTCCTGTGTTTCACTTCTCACTTGTCTTTGAATCTTATTTCAGCTTACTTGACAACAATTTCCTCTGACCAACTTCCTTTCACCTTCTCAAATTGTCAACCTTAATGTTAAGAAAGGGAAATTTCATCTTTTTTTAATTATGAAAATACCATACAAAAGGTTTAGAATTACATAAGCGAGGTAATGAGTACATTTCTTATCAAGCATTGTTGCCTCCTCCTCTGTTTCTCCCTACCATCCTTATCTTTTTTCTTCTTTCTCTTCTTCCTCCTCCTTTTCTCCCACCTCCTTCTCTCAAGGACTCCATTTTGAGCAGTTAAATATATTGCACAAATGGAAAGCCATTTTAAAATAAGATGATTTTTAAAATAATCTATGGTGATCTACCTAATTCACCATTCAAACAAGATTAGGAACAAGATAATATGAGTTTAGTAGTGAAAATATTTCTAAAAGTCTACAGCTTTTCATGATAATTCAAAAGATATTTATATTTAAGGAAGACAGAAATAATTGAAAAATACCTTAATGGTTTAAAGCATATATGAATTCTATGACAAAGATCACACTCAGTGCTGAAATACTTTAACATTTTTCCATTAGACTGCATTAAATGCTGAAATGTTTACTATCACTTCCTCATATACAAAATTGTATAGTATGACCTCCTCCAAATTCTATGAAGCAAAAAATAAGAGGAGACATTAAATCGAGAAATTAAGTAACAAAGCATCTTTTTATTTGCTGATGAACTTTGTACCAACATATTGAGGAGTATAAAAATTAATTACTGGAAATAATAATACCTTTTTCAAATCCATGCAAACACAATGAAGAGACATTTCTAGAACGCAATGGAGAGTAGATTGCTGTAATTATTGTTTTGTGTGGCCATTTCTCATCATTTTCTTCTTGAACCATTTGCACCAATATTTTCTATAGAGTTTCTGGGTGAGGAGTCCTCACGAAGATGGAAAGTTAGAAGCATTGGCTTTAGAATGCAAGGAAATCTGCAGGCAGACACTAGGGTGGAGGGGTGGATTGGAGGTTACCTGTCGGTTCTACAAGCAGTTGAGAGCATTGGCACCCACCACTGGGTGTCTAGACAGGACAAGGACCTAGGTGAGGAGGCCTTCAGTTTCACATGTAGATGATCTGCATCTGAGGGCAGACCAGACAGCATTCCATTTCTGTGTCTAGCTTGACTGATTAACATAACCCAGTCTCGGATTGGTTGTAGTTTATATAATTTTATCTTATTAGAAAATATAAAATCTGCTTGGATTAACTAACATGTCTCAACATTACAAATGAATCCCAAATAATGCTCTCACAGAATCCTCCTGTGATGTGATCTGTGTGCTCTATTGAATCAAGAGGGCATTGTCATGTTTGTACTACTGCATAGAGAGCCAGTAAGGGAGAATTATGCCCAGCCACTTCTACCAAAATCTTTTTAGTGACCTTCAGAGTCTGTCTGTATTTGAGAAGCTCTGTCAACAGGTGGAGGCCCCAGGAGGAGCAGCTGGAACAGCCCAGCCTCTCACTTCTGCTTCCCTGGGAGGTTTATGTTTTAACTTGTATCACTGTGGGTGGGTAACTCTTACCCTGTACACAGTAATACATGGCAAAATCTTCAGGCTGCACGCTGCTGATGGTGAGAGAATAATCTGTCCCAGATCCACTGCCACTGAACCTGGATGGGACACCTGATTCTAAACTAGATGCTTTGTATATCAGGGGTTTGGGAGCTTTCCCTGGTTTCTGCTGATACCAGGATAACCAACTGCTAATGTCCTGACTGGCCCGGCACTTGATGGATACAGTGTCTCCTGGAGTTGCAGACAGGAAGGATGGAGTCTGGGTCATCTGGATGTCACATCTGGAACCTGGCAGTAGAAACATAAAAACAAATTTCCCCCTTGATAATCATGGTACAAGAAGCTTCCCTTAATTGCCAGATAGCCCTGACTATACTAGGCTGGGTTAATCTCCAGCATTGTCTTTCCTTACCTGGGAAGCAGAGCAGCAGGAGCCCCAGGAGCTGAGCAGCAGTCCTCATGTCCATGCTGTGTACTACTGGCACTGACTACTGCACAGGGTGTGAGCAGCCTATGAATAAGTGCTCAGGGCAGTGGGCTGTTCTCTAGACACATGGAAATCTGCAGGGGTGGGCAGAGCTGGGTACAGCTGCAGGATTGGCTCAGCTCAGTGAATCACCACAGGCCTTGTATCCACACATGTACCAGAGGACAGAAAAATAAAGTGTCTGCAGAGAATGTGTTTGTCCCTGGAGACCATTTGACTGTAGAAGACAGTTTTATGACTTTTTGAAATGTATAATGCACAGAAGCAAGTGGTCTAACAGGGTATTTCATAAATATATTGATATATATTCCTGTTTCTTCTTAGATCTTTTATTCATTCTAAATAATTCTTTCTGGAAAAAAATCACTTTGTCTTCTCTTTACCAAGTACATATTCTCTGAAAATTGTTTTCTTTCTTTCTTTCTTTCTCTTTCTCTTTTTCTCATTCTTTCTTCTTTCTTTCTTTTCTTTATTTCTTTTTCTTTTCTTCCTTTCCTCTCTCCCTCTCTCTCTCCCTCCCTCCTTCTCTCCCTCCCTCCCTCCCTCCTTTCCTCCTTCCTTCTTTCCTTCCTTCATTTCATCTTTCCTTCCTTCCTTCCTTCCTTCCTTCCTTCCTTCCTTCCTTCCTTCCTTCCTTCCTTCCTTCCTTTCTTCTTTGCTTGTTTCTTCCATTCAGTTTAGTTTTTGTCCCTGAAGCTTCAACTCTGGGTATTGTCTGTTAGCCTTTTCCCTGAAGGTTAATATTATACCATATGAACCACACATCAATTTCTGGCTTTTTGGTGATTAATTGGAGATATTATTCTCATGGAATTTCTTGTGCAGGCTTTCAACAACCATTCTCTTATCTCACACTCATGAGTAGGATATAAACACCTAGCTTATATCCCCCACCTCTCTGTGTATTAATATTGGGATGTGAACTCATGGCCTGGGTGCTGTTCCTTAGATTTTTGTGTGCAAGGCTAGCACTCTGCTATACCACTTTGGGCATGGCTCTACTTCCAGATTTTGCATGGTTAATTGGGAATAAGAGTCTCATAGACTTTCCCGCCTGAGCTGGCTTCAAATTTCAATCCTTGGATCTCAGCCTCCTGAATTGCTAGGGTTACAACCATAAAGCATGGGTGTCCAATTGTATAATTCTTATTAGAAAATTATTGTTTTGATCAAAAATGGAAGTACAGAGTCCTTATGTTGCATAAGTCAGAAAGTACATTTCTTTTTGAACAGTGTCAACCCTCCCCCACCAGATCCTCTTCCCCACCAAGTTATATAGTTCTTTTCCAAGGTAGTGTCTAGTGAGTATCTCTGCTAAGTTAGTTTACCCTTTGTACCACTGTTTCTGTGTGTCCCTTTCCCTTCCCCAAATCAGATAAATCAGATAAACATATACAAGACAAGCAGGTCATGAATCAAAAACAGTTAAAAAGGGGACAAAATGAAGAAAAATAGGAATAAAGAACTGAAAACAGTACAATTTTTTAAAAAAACCTTGTGTTGCCATTTCCTCATTTTCATTTCCATAAGCCTCATTTTATTTATTTATATTTTTAGTCAGTCATGGGGCTTGAACTCTGAGCCTGGGCGCTGTCCCTCAGCTCTTCAGCTCAAGGCTAGCGCTCTATCTCTTGAGCCACAGCACCACTTCTGGGTGTCTGAGTGGTTTATTGGAGATAAGAGTTTCATGTACTTTCCTGCCCGGGCTGGCTTTGAACTGGGATCCTCAGATCTCAGTCTTCCGAGTAGCTAGGATTACAGGCATGAGCCACCGGCACCTGGCTAAGCATCATTTTATAGAATCATATACACATAGCTCTTGAGCCTTTGTGATTCTCTCCTAAGAATATCCTCCTTTGGTCTCATTCTGTGAATATTTATAGTCCTGTTGAATTAATCATTTCCAGGAGTATTTTTTTTTGTCTTTTACTATCCATTGGGTTTACTTGTAGATTTGTAGGCACATTCTAATTATTACAAATGAGGGAAAACATGCAGCCTATGTCACTTTGGGTCTGGATTACCTTGCTTAATATAATATTTTCCAACTCTTTCCATTTCCTATGACTGGGGCAATGCCATTCTTTCTGATAGAAGCATAGAATTCCATTTCGTTTACAGGCCACATTCTCTTGATGCATTTATCCACTGAGGGACTTCTGAGTTAATTCCATATTTTTAGATATGCTGAACATGATTGTGATAATGATCTGGTTTGTGGTCATTTTGATAAATGCCCAGGAGTGGGATTTGTAGGTTCTAGGGAAGTTCTTTTTTTCATTTTTTAAACTTAGTAATATTTTATTATTTATTTATTTACTTAAAATAGAAATTATTGTAAAGGGGATGAATGTTGTAGGATTTACAGTTACGTAAGGAAGGTAATGAGTACATTCCTTTTTAAGCACTGTTACCCCCTTCATTCATGTTTAGTCTTTTAAGGAAAGTCCATACTTCTTTCCTGAGTAGTTTAACAACTTTACATCCTTGCCAACAGTGTAGTAATATCCCCTACACTGAATGTATTGAAGAGTATTTTGTGGTAGTTTTAGTCACTACCTTTACAATATAAGTTGAGGCAAAATTTTGTAGATGCAGTTTAACTTTGATTCCTCAATAATGACTCACAAGTTTGCCTGTATTGATACTTCAGCTGTCTTCTATCCTTAGTATCTAAATAGACTGTAATTTTCCTAATATGAGACCTCTCATATTTTGCTACTTTTGTATCATTTTGTATTACTTCTCACAGTTCATCAGGATGAAGTGGTAAGTGTTGATGTGTGGATACTGGACATGATTACTTCAACAAAAATCACTGGTACCAAACCACACATGACTCTTTCTTTATACTTTTCCAATGAGTGGAAAAATCATTCCTTCCCAGATACCAGTGTGGCTGTTTTCATCTCTAGAAGAACTAGAGTGAGAGAGAAAGAGAGACAAAGATAGAGACAGATAGAGAGAGACAGAGATGGAGAGTGACAGAGAGAGACAGAGAGGGACAGACAGAGAGATAGAGAGAGGCAGAGAGACAGAGACAGATAGAGAAAGAGACATAGAGACAGAAAAAGAGAGTCAGTCTTAATCTTTTCTCAAGCCAGTAAAGGTGTCACTGAAGAAACACCTTGGGTCTGGAAAAACATGGATAGAAATTTAATCAATCAGATATCACATCAAGCCTTTTCCTTGGACACCCCAGCCCAGTTCCTCAGAAGAACCATCATCATGCACACCCCAGAGTATAGGAATTCTAAGAATCTTCATGATGCATCACAATGCATCTAAGTAGGATAAAATAGGTAGATGCCATGGACATCTTACTGTGGTGAGATAGTAAAAAGTCAGGACCAAATGGTGAGTATGAAATCATTTTTGCAATTATTCATTTGGTTTCTGCAAGTTTTGAGACATGAAGGCTGACTTAAACATTCAGGCACCGAAATAAAATGGAGAGATTTGGCTCAGGAGCCTCTGTCCAGGGCTGACATTCTTGCTCTGGGCTATAAAAGAAGCAGTCACCCTCCAGAGTGATGGAACTGAGATCCTGGGGGTGACAAAAGCTCTGCCCAGTGGTGGCCTTGGGTTCAGTGAAGGAAAATGTTCACCACTCACTGGAATGGAACTTAGAAAAGAGGTGATGATTAGGTTGAGAGTTATTCGGAGCTCAGAGATTTGCCTGCCTTGTGGGACTGGCTAACTTCCCTGCAGTTCTTACCCAATCATGAGGAAAGTCAGCAACTGTTCCTCATCCAGTTTCCTCCTAGCCAATGTGTCTTCTCCTTAGACTCATAAGGAGGACATGTTGATCAGGTTGTAAATTTTACATCTATTGTGTGTCCTGCTCTTTTTTGAGGCTTCTGGGAAACAGGTTCTGTGATACTAGAACTTCAGTGTTCTCATCACCAATTACTTCCATATACACTCAATTATCTCTTCTCTGAATCTCTTAGAAGGTGGGGCCTTCATCGTGTTCTGTCTTACTGAGAATTCTCAAGGCCAAGTCCTGCTGACTGTGCACACATGTCTTGTTGCCCTCAGAGTGCAGCATTTGTTCTCACATATCAGCATCCACCTTTGAACTGGAGTTCTTACTCCATTTCCAGAAACCTGGTGAAAAGGAGCATCATTGTCAGGGTGTGCAGATCAAGAAAATTACAGATCAAGAAAATTAGAAAATACTCAGAAACACACACATGGAGAATCATGGCAGTGTGATCCTCAGGTTCATGTGCAGCATGCCATCTGTGCTGGGAACTTACTAGCCTGAGGTTCCTCTTGACAAGGAGGGATCATCACTCTGCTCTCCATGCCTTTCAAGATACAGACTCAGCTTTGCTGATTGTGAGGTTTGCTTGCCCTCTGGTGGCCTCCTTGTGACATAGCAAGCTATAGGATTTTGAGTTTGGCATACCAGTGTCTAGATAGTGAATCTTTTCTCCTATATTCACAAAGCTGGTTCATTCTACCTGTTTCAAGGCCAGGTTCAGTAGGAAATTCAAATGACTCCTCTCCTCAGACATTTTCTAACAGTTGAAGAAAAAACCTATAAGTTCACTATGAATTCTGAGTATTTATTTGCTACAGGGTAGTTGGTGGCCTAAGATGTATGTTTCCTATGATCTAACTGACATGCAAATTTGGTAAAGAGGAGTGGGTCCTGAGTGACACTGAAGGGTACAATGGCACATGTAGAGCTCTGTCCCAGGTCTTACAATCCAGCCTCATGCTCTGCATCACAGAAACTGTTCTTCCATACCACTCATTGCCTCCTGGGGCTGAAAAAGCGAGCCAATTAGCTGGAAAGCTGATTCACATCTTTGCTTTCAACAGTACCTCCTTTCTTTAAAGGCTGTAGCCATCATCTGATTCCTCTATAGGACAATGGTAACAATTGCACTGACTTGCATTTGAACTGGAGCTTGAAGCATTCAGATCAACATAATACGACTTAGCAAGCAAAGACTGATCAAGACTTGGTTCCAGATGAATTTTGTGGTTTTCCCAGTGACAGGTCTTGTTTCTGTCACTAAAATT